CTGTTGAAACTGATCAGTGGCTGATTCCAGGAAGCTGGGGGCAGAGCAATTCTGCCTCCAAGCTTCCTATAGTCAGCCCCTGGTCAGTTTCAGCAGCAGCGGCTGAATCTGGAGCCAGTTCCGACTTACATACAAATTCAACTTAAGAACAAACCTATAGTCCCTATCTTGTACGTAACCCAGGGACTGCCTGTATTGCTCTCTCTACTGAGAACTTTTCAGCTGTGTGCATCTGCTCCTTCTGTATACTATGTTAGTTCTGTGAAGATAGGAGGCTATCTTGGCATCAACCATGCTAACTAAGACCATAGACTCAGATAAGATCAGAAGGCATCTTTCTGAGGCTTATTGTAAACAAAGCACAGTAATAGCACAGCAATACTCAGAATGGGTGCTCATGACAATGGACCCAGCTCAGGCAGTAGCAGGGGATTCTCCACTGCTCCTAGGCTGGACAAAGTTAAAGTACCCCAACACTGATTGACTGAGATCATCTATGATACACACCTTACATATCATTTTACACATTAATGACATGTTTGTTAGCTCCCCTTGTGCTTTCAGTCCTGATATTTTGGACAAAATAAAACTTATTCATACTTTTGTCAAACCATTTTATTGTGTGCTAGGTTGGGGTATCCTTGTACTATCCTGGTGGAATATATTTACATGTTCCATGTGTTTTAGCAATACTAGTGCTGAGTTCACATCATGGATGCTCACTGAAGGCAAATGTCTGCATTTGACAGCGTCTGCCTGTTACTCTTGTTCACTTTGGATCAGGCCTCAGTCCCTACACCAGGCCTATGTTCAGGCTCTTTTTCTCCCACAGCTGTGTAAATGTGCTAGTAAATAAAAAGTGTCCAAAAATCATGGCTTTCACAGATTTGTTGAAGGCTTCTAAGGTGGTGGAAGGTAGTTTTTTATTTACAGCTTTGCATTGGATAACTTGTCAGTTTTCTGTTTCATTGTTGATGGATGGTCCGTCCCCTAGTTCTGGCCATCCCTGTCCCATTACATACATCTCAAGACATAACAAATGTTGAACTTTTTTTCCCCCTTTCTACTTGCACAATTAAAACTCAAGTATAATCTGGGGGAAATCACATATATGCCACTAAATACCTTATTACTACTTTTTTTTGAGAGAAAGGAAGAAAATTAAAAAAAACACCCAACCAACCTTATAACAGTTACTGTTTTTTATTACAAGTGTAACAAACTTAAAATTATTTTTAGCACTATGACAAACACAGTTCCATAAATTATATACATACAGTAATTTATACAAGTCTACATTGACAAAAAAGTCAGGAACAGAATCACATTAACAAGGGTTTGTGTGTTATGGCCAATAAAAGTTATGAAAATTCACAGTTAATCTGCACACATTTTAAAGATGCAGGAATCATATTGCACATAAAACTGTTAATGCTAAACAGTAGATTTAGAGTATTTCACCTATTCTTTCACAGACTATACATTGGTCATAATCATGCATTACTTTACCACATATAGAATGGTAATGTATACCACTGTAAACATTTTCAATGTAAGTTTTAAATAGAGTAGCAAAAAAGCTGTTAAGTTTCTCTTTAAATCATACTTAAAATAAATTCTTATTATACAATATCAGTCCCAGACAGAATGGAAATTATGGTGTTGTCACAAATTGTATCTTCAGTGTTCTTCCTTGTCTTTTCCTTTCTTTTCTTTTTCATCCTGTAGAGCAGTACCAAGTTTTTTTATAAGGACTGATAGAACTTTGTCCAATGGGTCCATTACCCCACGTTGAAGCCACTTAGGAATAGTAGTCCTGGCATGATGAAAGCCCAATTTTTGAAGAATGTAATCAACACCCACTGGGTCAATCTTTCTTCCAGTCCAAGAGATTAATCTATAATACAAAAACAAAACAAAACCCTCTCTGTGTTAAAAGTGTAAACATGGCACAGCAACTAGAACCTTTATGTCAGTGTTAACTTGTGATGATCAAATTTTAAACATTTTTACTTCTAAATAGTGAAAGTTCAACAAGCATTTATTTCAGTCTCAGCTAATTTACATAACTGCATTTTGTATTAATATCTTTTTTGAGGGACTAGATAATTCTGAAGATCACAGATATAAGTCATCTCTGGATCCTGTTTTAATTTGGACCATGTTATGGTTTACTAAAAATAGTTATCTAATAGATGTTTATTAGCCTAGGTAAATTGACTTGGAGGTCTCATAGTCCAATTCTTAGCAGGCAAGTGTTCACTTAGCAAAACATTATAGTCAACAGTACTTGGTGCCTTTGTTAGTCTCAGAAGAGACCAACAACTGGAGCAGTGATTCCGATTGGTTAGAGATGAAGTGTTTATTTAGGTGCACAAAGGGTGACTGTATACTGATCCCTTGTATGGGAAGTTTCATCAACCATAGAGTAAATTTTTAATGGGAACTATATTCATTCTATAATAACTTTTGAAATAATTCTTAGCAGTTGCATTTTCATTATGTAAATTGAGAGAGACCAACAACTGGAGCAGTGATTCCGATTGGTTAGAGATGAAGTGTTTATTTAGGTGCACAAAGGGTGACTGTATACTGATCCCTTGTATGGGAAGTTTCATCAACCATAGAGTAAATTTTTAATGGGAACTATATTCATTCTATAATAACTTTTGAAATAATTCTTAGCAGTTGCATTTTCATTATGTAAATTGAG